TCTGTCTGTCCGTCCATCCATCCATCCATCCATCCAACCATCCATCCATCCATCATTCTACTTATACATCCATCTGTCTGTCCGTCCATCCATCCATCCATCCAACCATCCATCCATCATTCTACTTATACATCCATCTGTCTGTCCGTCCATCCATCCGTCCATCATTATACTTATTCATCCATCTGTCTGTCCGTCCATCCATTCATCATTCTACCCACCCACCCATCCATCCCATCCATCCATCCATTGCTCTACTTATACATCCGTCCGTCCATCCATCCTTCGTTCCATCTACCTATCTATCCATCCATCCATCCTTTTGCATTTCTTTGATTGCTTATCTTTAGTTTTGGATATTCATATAAGGATGGTATTTTTCCACTACGTTTTCACAAACCGAAGCACCAATTGGAACATTTTTAGGGCAACTTGTAAGAAGTGACTTCCCTTTGCTCCATCTCATTCATCTTGAGATTCTCTCAATGGTTGTTGCCACTGTTTGTTGTTGACCTATAACTCTCTTGGTTATGGAACCATATGTCTTTGGTGTTAGAAGAATGGGTTCTGTGTCCTTTGTTTGTTGCTTCCCTGTTGATTTGGGCCTCATTGCGATGGTCAATGCCTTTGGCTTTAAATGAATCAAAAAGAGCCACATTCTCTGTTTTTCTCCCTAGCTTCCCTAGGGCAGCCAATGAAAAAGAGGCCAATTATCTTTGCAAAATGGCTGCTCTTTTGCAGCAATGACAAGCCTTCAGTGCTTCGAAACAGCAATATTCCAAATTAAAAGAGGGAGAAAGGGGAGGGAGTGAGAAAAGATGGAGTACTCAGAATGTGACACCACAACCCGCGATGAGATTAGCTCATCTCACGGCATTTACTAGTAATCCTGTTTAAAAGCACTTTGCTTGTCGGTTTCTTCCATAATCCAAACACCACACTCTCATTACTCTACGATTAGCTCAGTGAATTAATTAAAAAAAACATAGACCCGGCTAGAACAAGCGGAGTGATACAAAATTGTGAAAGGGCGTTCCTGTAGCGATACCAGTACAATATCTCACGGTTCTCAACCAATCAGATTTGAGAACCAGAACGAACTGTTGTATAAATATATACATGTTATTTAAAATGCATTAGCCAAGTTCATAGAAATGTACCCTTTATTCATGTTGGTTTCAAAAAGTTTCAGTTTAAAGATCATGTGGTGTAACAATCAAAGTAAAATTAATAATTTTTACTTTTGAGTGTCCACATCTTAATCAATAAAAAAATCAAGATTAGGTTAATTATTTTTTACAAATCATGTATTATTAATGTTTTTGAAGCTTGGACTACATGGCATTTACCAACCTGAACTAACCGTGCCATGTAATAAAAAGGCAAATCATCTGATAGTAAAGTAATTTTATCAAAGTAAATGTATTAATGTCATTGACCCCTAGAATGAAATTTAAGTGTACAGAACTGCCATTGAGGTTAGATCCTCCATATCGGAGATAATGTGGCCTGTTCCATGTTTTTACAAAGCATTGTTAGCAGAAGAATTAAGCTGTTATTTTTACCTTTCGTTCTGCACCGGATCATTTATTTCTTGATTGTTGTTTTTGGGATGCCATGAGAAAAGCTTGAGGTGCTTGGAAGGTCTGTTTTTGGTTGATACTGTCAGATGTCGATAAGCGACGGGGTGAATATAAATGCGCTCTATTTTAGTACCAGTGAACTGGTGAAATGAACATAAATGTGTTAGTTCACCTTGAAGTAAGAATAGCAGGCACTGAGGAGAAAAGTATTATTTCTGCATTTTGCCTTCATGTTTATATATGTAGAAAACTTTAATTCTCCAAAACTCTGTGGCTTTTCCTGGATATATTTTAACTTTTGAATCTCATAATTTAAAAAATTCTCATATGGAGCGTAACATCTGTCTCTCAGTATCTCTTCCTGAACTTTAAGAAACCTGTAGGCCTCCTGCTGCATTTGGAGGCTTTGCTGAGGTAGACCAGCGTCTCAATCACTACAACATGCTCCACATGAAGTCTTGATTCATAAGGCCGACCATATAAATTCTTCACCCATCCTATGGGCCTTTGACCTCTTGGTCTTCATGTTCCTCGCTGTGTCTCTTCCTCCCCTTTTTTTGTCCTGCTGTTTAATGTCAGAATTACCTATATAGATAATTTTACCATGCAGGAAATCACTTCATGTTCCAACACTGTATGGGATCACTTATGTCTGGTGTCCAATTGTGAATTGGCTCATGCTATAACTGGAAACTCTTTTTCTTCTTCCTTATCGCTCAGACTAGGTCTTTAGCCAAGAGCAATGGTGCTCAGTAGGCTTTCTAGGCTAAGGGCCCCCTGTGTCACAGGACAACCTGTTTTAGGTTTGCTCTAAAAACTCTTCAAATGGAGATTTGAATTGGACTCCATTGCTAGAGGGCGTTTGATTTCACCTCTCTGAAAACATGCAGCGTAAGATTAGAAATATGGTGTGAATTAGTAGCTTGTAATAGAGCTCCTTATTAGTGAGAAATGAAGTTAGCGTGCCCTCCAAATTTAGATGGCCTGAATGATATCATTGCGGGGCTCAGATCCAAGATGCGCTTCCCTTGTACGCACAGTGACTCTGATCTGGAGAACAGTTTCAGTAAGGTATTATGTATTAGACACTACATATTTAAGTAAATTGGTTTCCATGTTATTAAAACCCAATTTGTGTAATAGCTAAACTTTTTTAATTGCTAAAGTAATTTCTTGTTTAAAAAAAGATGTTTTGTTTTGCCCATATAATGAAAGTCTATTGGGGCCAATATTGTTTGGACCACAATGTGCTTCTTTTGTGTTCCTCAGGAAAAATATAAGTCAACCCAGGCTCACTGGGAAAAAAATGTGCTTCTGGTGACATTTCTGAAAAATTATATTGTTATAAGTTGCTTCTTGCATGTTTTAAAGGGGTCATATGATGCTATTTTAAAGATCATTATTTTGTGTATTTGGTGTAACAGAATGTTGACATGCTTTAATGTTCAAAAAACACATTATTTTTCAAATACTGTACATTATTGTAGGTCCTCTATGCCCCGCCTCTCTCAAACACGTCGTTTTCAACAAAGTCCCCTCCTTTGACAAGCGCAGTCTGCTCTGATTGGCCAGCTGACCCAGTGCATTGTGATTGGCCGAACACCACAAGCACGCATCGGAAATGTAACGCCCCTTACCATAATCGCGAGCTTCAGCTTTCAAAGTAAATATCAAGACAGTTAATAATGTTAATAACGTTAGTTTTACCATCAGTTCAAGCCCGAAAGGGCAACAGAGTTACGTGACAGACAATTTACAGATCTTCTTTATGCACCAAGAGCTTGTAACACTTCAAAGAGAAAGGAAAACTTGAAATCGCATCATATGACCCCTGATTAAGGCACTTTTAAAATGAAATGTCTAGTGAGTGGTGCTAAAAGCATGTTCGGTTTTTCCAGAAACTAATGAACGTGAAAGTGGCAATGTTTTTTTTTTGTTGGTTGTTGTACTGTACATATCGCAGCATTTCGGAAATGAAATGTCCAATAAATGTTAACAAACGCAATTGTGATATAAAACACATTCACATTTGTTACCATTCCATTTTATCTTGCTTCTAGTGATTCCTGTTTCACAGGACCCGTATCTGAGCACTCCACATTGCAAGTGTGATGCTGTACCAGATGCACGATATTATCTGAATGTTATCGGATTTGAAAAAAAAAATTATGCCGATATGCCTTGCCGATAAGATGAGTAGCTTACATGTGCTCAGGGTGTGCTAGCGATAAGATCATGTCAGCAGAGTGGTCATTCTTGAAGCAAACTTTTTCCTGAATGATGATTAGAATCACTGTTTTGGATCGCCACATTTAATTTGAGAATGCAAGTACAAAATGCCGCGTCTGGTTTAGCAGCGGAAGCCTCCCCTGGGTCCTAATGCCCGTCCAGTAAGGCATTTATTCACTTCGGGGGCGCTGTTGGCCTACTTATAATAAAATGAAGGTAAAATACACAAATATCATTAAGATACGTGTGTTTCTGAATAAATAAAGCAGTAATTGATGTAAAAAAAAAATCACGTCTGTTTTGATTTAAAGGTCAGAAGCTATAGCTTACATTGAATAAAAATCACAAACATGACACTTGTAAATTAAATAATTCAATATATACAGATTTATTCCTTTTTTTTATTTTAGAATTTTTACAACTCTTTTGCTTTAGGCCATCTATTAATGTTAAATCCACAAATAAAATATTAAGGTTTCAATTGCATCTGTCCAAAAAAAAAAAAAAAAAAATCAGCAGAGATTGATTTTATTATAGTTATTTTCAAGGCTTTCAATGTACTCTCATTAAAAAAGAACTTTAATAATGTTTATTAGTTCTAACAAATAAATTTTTGCTCAAAACTAAAAAAAAAAAAAAATTGGTTTATAATTTCCAGGAGAGACTTGGTGTTGTTTCAAAACAAAGGGAAATGTATATCGATATCGGTATCGGCATCGGCATTGGCCAAAATGATTTAAAAAATATCGGCATGAATTTAATATCGTGCATCCCTAGCAGTTTTACTATGTCACAGAAGCCACATATATTGAGCTGATTATGTGAAAATGTAAACGTGAACATGTATTTGTTTACAAATCATGCACCATGGTAAAAGTGTTTTAGGTCATACCATAGTATTGTGCAGGGAACCATGTGAAAATAATCTGCCCCATTTATCATAATTTGCATAGGAATTAAAGTTGTTGCTGTTTTCCTGCCACTGGTGTTCATTTCAACTGGGAAATGTAGTGAATTGTTCTGCCAAAATGTAGGTAGAGGCATGTTTTTACAATGAGCCTATGTTGAAGAAAGTCAAAGTTTTTGAATGAGGGTGAGCAAATGTTGACAGAATTTACATTTTTGTCAACAAACCCTTTAATACCAGGTGTAAACATCCTCTTTCATCACCTTCATTGTGTTTTCCAGGGTAAGGCTCTGGAAGCGTACCGCAGCCTGCCTCGTAATGTCCCCTGGGCTATCCAGTTTCAGAGGGAAAATGCCCGTTCTTCCCTCAGTGCCAACCATCCCATGGTGGACCGATGGCTTGAGCGTCAAGAACAGGTACTTTCAAGAACTCATCCCAGCTCCTAAGTGCCTCTTAACTCCAGTAAACTGCGCTGATCTATATAAACTTGTGTAGTTTTTTTTTGTGTTGTTTTTTGTTTGAGTAAAGAGTAAATTCTAGAGTGAAGGGTAGATTATTGAAAATAGCACATAGAAAAAAAAAGATTGCAAAGAGAAAATATACTGGAAAATGACACCCACGTTGTTGGATGAGGATTTCACTAACCTTACAAAACTAGAGCCACGGTCTCTATAGACGTGGATGCTGAGTGCCTTTGAAATTCAGCTCTTTTGTCAATCGGTGGAACCGTCTGAAGAAGTGTGGGAGGTGTTTCGAATTCCTTTCCCTCTCACTCAGAGGAGAGAAATAAAAGAAAGAGGTGAGGAAGGAGATTGAGATGTTTGAGGTGCCCGGCGTGCTGCGGGGAATTCACTTATTAATTTTCGCAATCGATTTTCTCGAACCGCCAGCATCCATTTCACTCTTTCCCCCACTTTTCTTTCTTTGGCCCATTGAAATGACTGTGACAGAGGTTCGGCTGCTTGTTTGCAGTTCAGGTGGTCGCAGCTTCTCATTCCCCAGAAGCTTGAGTTGGCTCACAAAGAAATCCCCCCCACCACCACCACCCCCTCAAGGGCCCATGGCACCGAGAGTCGTGCATCATCATTAGGGAAGTCGTCTTGCATGGAGGAGCCTCTGGGTTGGATGTTGGGCTGAAAGGAGCAGTCAGTCAAGGCCTGGGCTCAACCTGACAGACTCATTCATTTGAGCTTCAGTCTATTACAGCTTAGCCTGACCCCCCAGTCTGTTGCCCGCCCTGCATCGCTCTTGCTCGCTTTCTCTCTCTCTTTCTCTTTCTCAAGCTATACCGTCGTAGCACCTCTGCCCTCTTTACTTATTTCTCCTTGCCTGTTTTCCATCCCTTTCCCCTCATTTTCTCTCTTAGCAGGAAGTGGTTATTTGAAGTGACAGACAGATTTCAAGACAGATGCAGAGGTTCTGTTGCTATTCAAGCACGTTAACAAGCACACACACACACACACACACACACACACACACATACTTGCATTTGTGGTTTACGGGGACTCTCTCCGTAGGTGTAATGGTTTTTATACAGTACAAACTGTATTTTCTATCGCCCTACACCTAAACCTACCCCTTACAGAAAACTACTGGCAATTTTTGAATTTCATAAAATGCCGTTTTGTATGTTTTTTAAGCCTTTTGTTTTACAGGGACACAGGAAGTGTGTCCATATATACCAGTTCACTCACTCACACATGCACGCACGCACGCACACACACACACACACACACACACACACACACACGCACAGTAGGTTGAAGCTAGTGTAGCTATTATTTCACCTACCTTAGTAACAATTTGGTAGTATCACTATTTTTTTTTTTATTATTCTAATGATGTGATTGTAATGATTTTGGAATGACATGAAGGAGAGAAATTAAATTTTATTTTTTTTTAAGTGTAAATCAAACTGGTTTGAATCAATGACTGCAAATGCAGCTTGTGAATATCATATAATACTATGATAGTTACCTCTACTGGCTTATCACAAAGTTCTCAGCAATTATGTCTTTATTGCCATATTAAATATCCATTTAATCTTTAATTTCCTCTTTACTTTTATTGGCTCTAATTGTTTAGTTGACAACCGGCTTAGTTTGATATAGCCTCCATTATATTTGCATAATGTTGTGGCTTTTTTATACACCTTGAGTAAGCTACTTAATTAGGCGTGGCTATTTTCTCTTTATTAGCCATGTCAGGCATGCCAAAGTATGCATTTTAAACAACTCGCCAGGAGACTTTTCTTTAATTTTGAATCACTTTTTGTTGCTTTCTCCCAGTCTTTCTCCTCTTTGTTACGATAAGCATCATTAAACAGTGTAACTCAATGAACAGACACTACCATACCTGAAACAGAAAACTTAAAAATAATATTCCCTGTGCATTTGCGGATGTCTTCAGCGAAATGTTCATAGCCATGCTTTATTGTAAATAAAACATAGCTGTTGACCAGTCAGTATAATGGACCGGAAATTAACACACACACACACACACACACACACACACACACACACACACACTGATTGCTTGTGTATTCCCACTAAAAATACGACAGTGCTACACAAACTTCTGGAATAATCTTCTTCCATAGCAAACTGTGATAGTAGAATAGTTCATGGTTGCGGTTGCCAGATTTCAAGAGTTGACATCCCCCAATCACAGCTTTTCTCTTAGATTTTTTTAAAATCCAGTGGTTTACGTAATATTCCCAACCTGGCAACCTTGCACACTCTCTCTCTTCACATTACAGAAAAAGCAGTGATGATCTGAAAACACCATCAAACATGTAAGCTGGAGTTTACCATTGAGATATTTTTCTCAAATGAAAGTGTACAACAGCCAGTCTGTTTTCTTTCACATGGTCACGTTTTCTTTTCTTTTTTTTTGTGCGTGCAATAATTTTGATTGACAACAACAACAACAACAAAATAGTCATGATTATATTTTTGAGCAGTTTAACCATGGTGTATCCCTTGTATATTATACATTATTATTTACAGTAAACATTACATTTTAGTGTATTATAATAAAACATTTCCAGGAGCTTTAAATAGGCCTACATTGAGTATAAAGGTGGACTGCATGACTATTACTTTGTCCTGTTGTGGTGCACGTTCACAAGGTTTCATTTTGTAATAAATTTTCTCACAATTTCCATACACTGCTCTGCAATGGAAGTTGCATTGGTCACTGTGGCTAAATGCATAACCGATCATGCATAGAGTCTATTGAGTCATGTCTCGCTTGTGTTAGTTTTTGTGCTGCACATGTCACATGGAGTTGCTGCCTACAGTATGTTTCTTTTTTTTTTTAAATTCTAAAATATCTGATGATTATGTCATAGATACAACACTATGTCCTTATAGACACTGCACAGACCCTGACCTTTCTCTGTAAGGAACACAAGTTGTGTAGAGGTAAGGATTGTCTGAGTGTTTTCAGCCTTCCATTTAGTTGAGTGTACAACAGCTTGAGAGGCAGAAGAAATGCATTTTAAGGATGCATGTTGATTCAAACAGCCCCAACTGTGCTGGTGCACTCACCCACTTGAGGCGACCTCTCCAAACACCGCTCTGAATAACACTACAGCAGTGAAGCACACCTACGAGAGCTCTTCGCTTGGTCACCTGAAAAGGACTTTCCGTTCCAACACACAGTAAAAGCTTTGCTGTCTTTCTCAAAGCAGTGCTTGTTTTTGCGTCAGCATGAATGTAATGATGTTTATTACACTAGAACCCTCAGATTATGTTCCAGGTTTGTTCCAAATGTTTTTAATTGCATCCTGACGTGTCAGGCTCTCACATTCCCACCTGGCGCTCTTATTGTTAGAATGGCATTTCCTTTTTCATTTTTAAAAGTGATGAATTAAGAGATGACCCATCTGGGAAGGAAGAGGGCAGCATGAGGCTTCAGCTGTGGATTTGTGGGTAATGCAGAGTGCGGCAGGGTCATGAGGTCTCCTTATTCTGGAACAAGTGAGACTGGATTTGGGAATTTCATCATCGAATGGCTGTTTGCCTTTTTATTCAAGAGAGTGGAAGTACAGCTTCAGTATCTGTTCATTTTATTCACACAGCGTTATAAGATATTGTGAATTAGGTTAACCCAGAATGAAGCTTTGTACGTGACCAGTATTACACTTTAGCTAGAATTTTGAGTTGGTTTATGGAGATAGAATGTAATTTTTTGTAATAAATTATAAATTGTCCAAGAATTACACTTTCTCAGAAGAACTTCACGAGGCCGTCAAATAAATGCTTTATTATTAAGTGCAATTTTCTACTAGCCATTTCTATGTAATAAAAGTGGACAAGGCATTACATTTCGTTTTTTGTCTGTTGTAAAAATGTCTTCAGAACTTTTTATATGAGCTTTTTGTGGTTTGCTTTAGTCCATCATTGTCTAACATCAGTCTAGTTACAGACATTTCTCAGGTAATGGAGGTTACTAATGTCAAGTTGCAGTTGGAGTTCAGTTTTGAGTGTGAAAAACACTGTATGAGTGTAATGGGCAAAACCAGTAGAGTGCACCTGAAGAAATTTGGTATTTAAAGCTTGAAGATTTTAGACATGCTGTATTAGAAATGAAAAATCATCTCCCAATATGTCAATTCAATGTGCACATTTTCATTTTTGAAGTGTTTGAATATCTGCAATACATCACTGAAGTGCTCCCTGTTAAAATGCCATTAACAAATGTTTTCAAAACATTTATGATAAATAATGCATGTGAATTAACTTTTTTATGATGTTTATCAGATGTTGATGCTCAAGTATGATGCTAGCATTGAATGCAATATTTTTCAGATAATGCATTATTACGTTCTCAACATACTTGTTTACATTTACTCAGAGACACAGTGACAACACTTCTGTTGGGGAAGTAAAATGATGCTTTTACTGATACCATGATACCAATATATTTGTCAGGGTTTTGTTATATGGTTGCTAAGGTGTTAGGTTGTTAGGGTTTTATTAGTGGTTTATAGGTGTAAGAATAGTCAGAAGAGCACAACAACAAGTCTCTGATATTTGATTAAAAAAAAAAATAATAATAATATTAATATTTTTTTGAGGATTTATAATATATTTTTCCACAGTAGTAAAATTGCAATACTTATGTCTTAATTGTAATACTTATGTCTTAATTGTAAGTGCTAAACCAGGGGTGTCCAATCCTGCTCCTGGAGGGCCACTTTCCTGCCTATTTTAGCTCCTACCCTAGTTAAGCACACCTGAACCAGCTAATCAAGGTCTTACTAGGCATACTAGAAACTTCCAGACAGGTGTGTTGAGGCAAGTTGGGGCTAAACTCTGCAGGACAGTGGCCCTCCAGGACCGAGTTTGAACACCCCTGTGTTAAACCATCAAGCTTTTATTTTTTTTATTTTTGAATACATTGAATACAT